AACACAGTATTTGACATTTCTATTTGACTCTCAGATATGAAGAGCACGCCCCAAATGTACTATTTAGCAGTTTAGCACCAATACCATTAGAATTTTTACAACTGCGCTGTAACCGCAGAATTTGACGCTTCTATTTGACTCTCACATACGACGTGCACACCCCAAATTTACTACATAGCAGCTTAGCACCCAGAAAATAAGAATGTTTACAATTGCGCTGTAATCGCAGTATTTGACGCTTCTATTTGACTCTCAGATATGAAGAGCACGCCGCAAATTTACTATTTAACAGTTTAGCACCAAAACAATTACAATTTTTACAACTGCGCTGTAACCACAGAATTTGACGCTTCTATTTGACTCTCAGATATGAAGTGCAGGCACCAAATTTACTATTTAGCAGATTAGCACTCAGAAAATAAGAATGTTTATTATTGCGCTGTAACCGCAGTATTTGACGCTTCTATCTGACTCTCAGATATGAAGAGCACACCCCAAATGTACTTCTTAGGAGCAAAAAAATTAGAACTTGTCAAAGTGCGCTGTAAACACAGTATTTGACGCTTCTATTTGACTTTTAAATATGAAGCATACGCCCCAAATGTACTATTTAGCAGTTTAGCACCAAAACATATAGAATTTTTACAACTGCACCATAACCGCAGTATTTGACGCTTCTATTTGACTCTCATATATGAAGAGCACGCCCCAAATTTACTATTTAGCAGATTAGCACCCAGAAAATAAGAATGTTTACAACTGCGCTACAACTGCAGTATTTGACGATTCTATTTAACTTTCAGATATGAAGAGCACAACTCAAATGTACTATTTAGCAGTTTACCACCCAGAAAATAAGAATGTTTACAATTGCGCTGTAAACGCAGTATCTGACGCTACTATTTGACTCTCAGATATGAAGAGCACGCACCAAATGTACTATTTAGCAGTTTACCACCCAGAAAGCAAGAATGTTTACAATTGCGCTGTGACCGCAATATTTGACGCTTCTATTTGACTCTCAGATATGAAAGGCAGGCACCAAATGTACTTCTTAGGAGCAAAAAAATAGGAATTTGTCAAAGTGCGCTGTAAACACAGTATTTGATGCTTCTTTTTGACTTTTAGATATGAAGAGTACGTCCCAAATGTACTATTTAACAGTTTAGCACCAAAACAAATAGAATTTTTACAACTGCGCCGTAACCGCAGAATTTGACGCTTCTATTTGACTCTCATATATGAAGGGCAAGCACCAAATTTACTATTTAGCAGATTAGCACCCAGAAAATAAGAAGGTTTACAATTGCACTGTAACCGCAGTATTTGACACTTCTATTTGACTCTCAGATATGAAGTGCAGGCACCAAATTTACTATTTAGCAGATTAGCACCCAGAAAATAAGAATGTTTACAATTGCGCTGTAACCGCAGTATTTGACACTTCTATTTGATTCTCAGAAATGAAGTGCAGGCACCAATTTTACTATTTAGCAGATTAGCACCCAGAAAATAAGAATGTTTACAATTGCGCTGTAACCGCAGCATTTGACGCTTCTATTTGACTCTCAAATATGAAGAGCACGCCCCAAATGTACTATTTGGTGCAGCCCTAGTGACCAAAATTCATACATAATACAGATTAAGGAACAGTGCACACGTAAAAACACATTTTTAAATTTTGTAAGCTGCTTAAAATCACCTATCTCAGCAAACAAATATGTGGATTCAGTTCCACCATATGGCCATATTGTGTTAAGCCCACCACTACTTTACAGTACTCAAATATCGGTGGGTTCTATGCCATTCCAACGTGAGAGACAAATTAAATAGTGCTAGTGCTAAATAACCTAAAGTGTATTTAAATAATCTGTTCCAAGACCATTGTGAATATATATTATGCAAAATTAATGTGATAAATGCAATTGGAGTGATCTGGGTGCATTGTCCCATCACCCTTACCCTGAGCAAGTAATTATTGCAGTTTTTAATAAACTGCAATAATTACCTGCTAGGGTTAACTCCTCCTCTAGTGGCTGTCTACTAGACAGCCACTAGCGGGACTTCCAGCTATTTAGGCAACTTTTGGTCGCTATGCATGAGGTCTTCCAGCGTTACCAGAATCCCTACAGGAAAGCATTGAGTAATGCTTTCCTATAAGTAAATCCTACTGCAAGCGAGGCCATTGAGGTCATGAGGAATGAAGGTGGACTCGAGCCGGTGCTGGATCCAGGTAAGTGACAGAAGGAGTTTTTAACCCATTCTGCACCGAGTGTGAGGAGCCTTGATGGAGGCAAAGCTTTAGTGCCAGAAAAACTAATATGTTTTCCTGCAAATATAGTTTTCCTTTAAAAAAAATTAAATAAAAATACACTGTCAAAACTAAACAATTAAAGTTGTTCAGTTGGGTCCAGGTCTGCTGACTGTTTTTGCCAATTAAGAATATTCTAGTTCTTTATCTTTATCTCAGCACTTTGTTGGCTCACACTATATTGTTTTTGTCATTGTCCATCTGTACTGTGAATCACTGCATGGTCTGTAGCAGCATTTGACTGAATCTGAGCAGATAAAATAGCCATATACACTTCAGACTACATCTTGCTGCTTCTATCATCTGTTCACAGGTTATGCTACCTGTTATTCGGACTAGACAGCCGCCTAGGGCCAAGGTCAGCGCTACCTGTTAGGCGGACTAAGGCAGCTGCCTAGGGCGCATCTTGGGAAGCGCCCATAGGGCACAGCATGAGGAGAGGGGCTGACAGGAGGGAAGCGCTCAGCGCTCCCTCACTGTAGCGTGGCCGAGCTCTGTGTGGTCCGCGGGTACAGGGAGCATCTGTCTCCTGTACCCGGCTGGACTAACACTGAGTGTGCACTTCCTTTTAGTCCGGCCAGGTACAGGAAACAAAAGCTCTCTGTAACCGCGGACCATACAGGGCTCGGCCAAACTACAACAGAGGTAGGGAAGGGGGTGGAAATAAATTGACAGGGGGTGGAGAAAAAGAAATTGACAGGGAAGGGGGGAGGGAAAGAAAACAGGGGAAAGAAATTGACAGAAGGGGAGAAAAATTGACGGGGGAGAAAGAGAGGACAAGGGAAGGGAAAAGAGAGTGACAAGGGAGAGGAGAGAAGAGAGTGACAAGGGAGGGAGAAAAGAGTGACAGAGAGATTGACATCCATCAGACACACACAATGACAATGCACCCCTTGCACACAGAAACACACAATGCATCCCTTACAGACGCACACACTGCATCCTGTGTACATACACAGAAACACACCTTGCAGCCCTTACACATACAAACACAGATTCACACAATGCATTCCTTACACACATATCAGGACATCCCCCTACACACTCCACCCCCTGTGAACAAACTCATTGGTGGAACATGAAGGTGGACCCTGGGACCCAGACCTTGAGCTGTGTAAAGAGCCCCCCAAAAAATGGAGCTGCTTCCCGTTCTCCCAGAACATTGATTTTTGTGACCACAGTTATAAACCGCCTCCAGAGAGCCTGTTCTACACCAGACCAGTGGAGCCAGACTGCAGCTAGAGCCCATCATCCTCATCTGGTTGTAAGGCAATCTAGTATATTATTCGTGGCACTAATCTCTAATTTACCTCACATTAAAGAAACACTATAGTCCCCAGAACCACTGCAGCTTAATGTAGTGGTTCTGGTGTCTATAGCCTGTCCCTGCAGGCCTTTTAATGTAAACACGGCGGCACTGCAGTTAGTTAACATGGCAGATCATATGGGTGGGGCTTTTGCCTAGAGCTGCAAAAATCCTTGCAGCGGCCCTGTCTGTTCATCATTGATAAACACCAGTGACATAGTTCCATTGGTAATTGGTAAAATAACATACACTAGCATACACCGTATTTTGCAGATGAATATGTGTGCTTAAGATTCTGAGCTATTCCTACCATACGCTTCTTTCCTTCTAGTATATATTTTTTTTTTTACACTTTACCAAGTCTAATCTGACCTTCCTATTCCTGAGGCTCACCAATAGTTTGCATCTTTTGACAAAATCTATTAGTGCTATTCACGAAAGTGAGACTTGCAGAAAATTTACAGTTAATATCACATATACTTTAGAATAACCTTGTAACTGCTTTTTAATTAATAATGAAATATCAAAGGATCAGCTTCTCAATCAATTTGCTCATTAATTCTGGCCCCTTAAAGGACCACTATAGTGCTAGGAAAACATACTCATGTGAAAATCACAGTGAGAAGCGCCTCTAGCGGCTGTCAATGAGACAGCCACTAGAGGCTGGATTAACCCCAATGTAAACATAGCAGTTTATTTGAAACTGCTATGTTTACTGCAAAAAGGGTTAAACCTAGCTGGACCTGGCACCCAGACCACTTCATTGAGCTGGTCTGGGTGCCTATAGTGGTCCTTTAAGGAGCAAACTTCTGGAATAAAAGGGAATCATGACATGTCATGTCACACATGTCATGTGTCCTTAAGGGGTTAAAAAGTTTGGAACTAATGTAGAAAGTGCTGTAATCCCTATTATATAACTTAAAGTATAAAATATTTTTTCAGCCCAGCTAAAATCACTATAAAAAATTAATTATTTCACAATTTAGCAAATCTCAAAAGATTATTTTCAGAAGAATTTTTTCAAAATTTCCAACTGAATTGCATCAGTTGATGATGGTGCTTTGAGCAGTATTGTTATATCAGGCAAAGTAAATGGGTAACTATGATAAACAAAACAATATGAATAAAAGTGAAATGTCGCACAAGAAAGCAATACACAAACTATTGTGTAAATCCTGAAAATATTAATTCACTGACATTTAAAAAAAACCAATATGAGCTCATCAGTCAATGCATCTGACTTTTATATGTTATTCAACTGGTGTTTTTTTTTGCATATTGTTTTATTTTGATATGTGTCTACATTTATTTTTTCTTTTTGTACTGCTCACAGTCTGAATGTTTGTGACAAATAGTATATTTAATCTAGCAAACTACAATATTGCTGGTTCTGTTAGCCTTTTTCTTCCCTTTTTTAATAGTTTTATATGATTATGTTATATACTAAAGTTTGAAATGAATAAAAACAGTGTATTGGTGCATCTGAGACACATGCACTTTATGTGTTTCTTGCAATGTCAGACATTTTACAAAGTATTGAAGAAGAAAAACAAAATAGGACTAAATTCGACTGGAAAAGTAGCAGTTTATTAAACAAAATTTAAATTAAAAGCTATCAGGGGTCTTGCCCAGCATAAAACTTGGAGAGGAAATTAGTGGGTTGAGGAGTTTCAGTTTCATGGAAATAGCGCATGATGTGAGTCTTTTGCTTCCAAACCTTAATAGTTTCTTCTAGTTCCATCTTTCCCTAGTGGAACAGAAAATTATTAGTATAGTTAATGACAATGGAAAAATAAAGTTACTTAAGTACAAAACTTTTTAAGTTCTAGAATTTGCTTGCCAGAAACAAAGTCAACAATTGGAATGGTTCTACCTCAGGCATAAAAACAAACAAAATGTATGATTATGCTTAATTAGAGCTACAAGGATTGTATGCAGTATTCACCAATGCCCTCATTCTAAAAAGAGAACATACTTGTTAAAAAGCCTCAATTATCACACCCTCATACAAAATGATTTAATAATTTTGGATACATTTTTTAAGATTACTTAATATTACTTAATATTTTAATTTTGAATATTTAAAAAAACATTTATCCAAATCACAAAGGTGAGCCTGTTCCTGCAGACCACTTTATGAATGTGCCTCCTTTTTTGCTGCACCAGTATCTTTTCATATAGATTAATTAAAAAGGTGTACACAATAAAATTAATGGACATTACGTAATCCCTCTACTACATATTCATTTGTTTGTGGGTTCTCCAATTATATAGAAGGTGTGCCTATTTAAATACAAGTGTGCTTGATTTAGGTTCTCTCTGTGCTCTTTTTGCTGGCCCCAATTACCTCATGTATTAAAGGATCACTATAGGGTCAGGAACATAAACATGTATTCCTGACCCTATAGTGTTAACACCACCATCTAGCCCCCCTGGGCCCCTCATACCTCCATAAATATAGTAAAAATCTTACTGTATTCAAGCCTGAAGCTGGAAATCTGCATGCTGTTAGACTCAGAAAAACAAGTAGTCTGCTGACATGTGGTAGCCTGATCCAATCACAGTGCTTCCCCATAGGATTGGCTGAGACAGGCAGATCAGGGGCAGAGCCAGCATGATTCAAACACAGCCCTGGCCAATCAGCATCTCCACATAGAGACAAATTGAATCAATGAATCTCTATGAGGAAAGTTCCGTGTCTGCATGCAGAGGGAGGAGATACTGAATCACAGGATGCTGTGCACAGTGCTGCCCTGTGCTCTGCTGACAGCAGATCTGAGTGGATGGAGGCATATTATGCCTCCATCAACTCTGAAGTCCCTCTGGTTCACTCTGAGTGACTGCAACTGGAGGTGTTCCTAGCTTTCAATGTAAACACTGTATTTTCTTAGAAAATACAGTGTTTACATGAGAGACTGCATGGAGCGATAGTTCTCACCTGAACAACCTTATTAAGCTGAAGTTGTTCAGGTGACTATAGTGTCCCTTTAAGTTTCTATAGATATTGCTTTCCCACTAAGTTACAAGTATTAATATTTGAGGAGTATGTATATTTGTTGTGGGATTTAAGCTCAGAAACACACTTGACTATAAACATTGTTTTTACTTTTGCAATGAGATTTCAGGGGCATGATCTAGACATCAAAAACTTTTCATCCCCACCCTCCCCCTTACAACATTATTTTCCCTTATCTAGGCAACCAAGATGGTGATATTATTTAAAAAGCTGAAGCTGCATGTGAAAAAATGTGTGCTTGCAACATCATTATAAATTGTATATGAAGATTGTCAAAGATTTATTTTCTATAAAATTATGGAAAGGGAAACAAGTCAGAAATGTCTCTATTATAATACATCATACTCCTAATGTATTAAAAAATACTTTATAAGAGATTGTAAAGTTGTGCAGAATAGAAAAGGCTGACTGCAACTTCAGGCCGGCCCCTGCCAATCAGAGGCCTTTCACTCTGGTCTATGGAATCTAAACTTATGCCATAAGCTCCAATACATCAGTGGTTTATGGGCTGGATGGATTGATGCCTTTGAGAATAGATTAACATGAATTTGATTAGTTTGTCACAGGTAAAATGGATTCGTGCACAAGTCTTGTCAATACTATTGTGCCAAATTTCATTTTTATTAGTGATTTAGTACTGCATTTAAAAATAAAAATGTGACGGAATTAAATACACACACCAATGTTTTTCTGTTAGGAACATTTGATTGGGCAGAAGATCGGTAAAATAAGACTCGGCATCCCAACAGGAGAGCCGTGGAAGAATATTGGAAGAACTTGGCCCAGCGCTGAATTTTAGGTAGTTTTGAACATTTTATTAGCTTTTTTAAATTAAAAAATTACAGTGAAAAGAGGGCCCCTAAAGATAATGATAGTACATAAAGCACAAAAAGGGTTACTCCAATATGTAGGAGTAACCATTTAACAAAAAAAATAGTATTAAAAAAAATATACACAATTACAACCTGTTGGAAAAACTAATCTTTAACGGATTTCTTTTCAGGTAGATTTCTTTCTTTTAGTTCAAAACCTAATATCTACTTAATGTGCGTGGTACCAAAATTACCTTGATAACAAGTATATCAATAACTCTGGGATCTGTTACATGGGCATTGTTCTGGAACATCTGGCGCAATTTGTCTCTTCCTTGCTTTACTGTGATATCCAACTGGTAAACCTGGACTAAAAATTGCAAAACAAACAATGAAGGTCATCATGGCAGCTTTTTTGTTTGATTAAATAAAATGGAGTACTGTCCACACCCATAGATTGTCACACTTATAATTTGAATGCTTAGCTTCCACATTATTGTCATTTCCATCCAACCTAGATGACAATGACAAACTGGGACAATCCACACCCCAATGTTCAAAGTCAATCACGGCCATCTAGTTTGAATAGTGATGACACTTGAGAATATGGAAGCAAAGCAACTAAAGATGGAACAGTCTAAATGCAATATTTCTCTTATGTCCTCTTTTCTTTGCAGTTAAAGGGAAAATCCACTCCCCAAATAAGAATAAAACCGTTAAGTAGATATATACCCAATGAAAACATGCATGCAATTGGGGCAATAAGAGAAAAATAATCAAAAACAGGCAAAAACTACAGATTTCAACTCATGGGTCACCAGTAGTCAAGGTTTCAGTTTCCTAAAATGTTTTTAATCTGAAAACTGAAACAATGACTTGTGTTTGTGTGTATATCAGATGCACATAATTCAAAAACAGACTTGGCATCCAATGTCCATAAAAAGCTAAATGTCCCTGGGCACCTCCTTACCTTACAGGGTTAAACTGTTCTCAAACCTTTTAACCTCAAGGTTTTGTTTGCTATTGACAGACTGAGAATTTCAGCTGGTGCTCTCAGTCTATCATTGTCTGACCCTCTCTGCAATCAAGGCAATAATGTCTTTTTAGTGTGCAGGCCGCGCAGGAGGCCATTCAGACAGGTGCCTTGTGGCAAACCTCGCCACTTAAGAATGAATGTATGTGTAAGGGTTGTCTTGCAGACTGCAGGGATACGGCTGTATTGCTTTGTTTTATGTTCCGCTTTATATGTGTTAGAGAGAATTCGTATGCAGGCGGCCAGAAAGCCGCTAACATTCATATGGTAGTTTCACGAACAGTGAATTTCAACACTGTTCGTGAAACGAACAGACTACCGAATGGGAGACCACACAAGGGGGTCGTGTGTCTCCCATTAAAGATTGCAACAATGTAGCTACAGAACATAAATGTGTGTCCCGGGTGGCCGCCGTTCGTATGCCAAACACGTGGCGGCGGCCATCTTTGCTCACGAAAGCCCAGCGGTGTTTGGTTGTCGAGTGTCTGGAACTAAAATCAGCTACTCGACTTCACGAACACCGCTGGACTTCCAGACCATTCGGATGGATTATTCTTTCGGCATATTCAAGCTACCAGTTTATGTTCACATTACAAGGTCTGTTCGTCTGAAACCGTAATTCGAATGGCTTTTGTTTAATAATGCAGGGATCTGACCGGTATTTCACCAGCTGGTGCGCTCAGATCCCAGCTATCTAATGAGGGGTCATTCGGATAAATCTAACACATATTTTACAAGTTATGTATTTTTGTGTAAAATGTTATATTTTGCTGTACTTAGAGATAATCTAATTAACAGTATATTCTTGGGTGATTATCTCTCCAGTACAGCAGGGCATGCTGGGAAATAACCTTGCATGGTCAGTTTCCCACACAGTCCCCTTGATTAAAACCCATGCAATACCAGTTTGGAAACCCCTTGCATGGGGAACTGCATAAATACCGTGACCTGTGAATAAAAGCTCAGTTGACTCCCAGACTATGTGTCGTCTAGTTCTTGGGAGGAAGGGATTATCATAATGCTACCTGGATAATTGTATGCTGTTCCTGTCTACCAGTGGAGATATTGTGGATTATACTACCTCTCCGCTACATGTCTGGGATGGGTTAAAGTGTTAAAAACCATTTTAAGGCGGCACTATCATGCCACACTTACCTTTCCCCAATCGCTTTCTCTTATCTTCCTCTCTCAGGATCTGTTCTTCTTTTCTTCCTAACTGATTAAGTTTTGTTTAAAAAAAAAAAATAGTCCCTACTTTGTCTTATGTATTTTTCCTAAGCTTGACCAGCTTTGACCCAGAGGAGGAGTTAAGTCCGCTCCATTTCCTGTGATCAAGAAGTTTTCCCACAATACTCACCTCTCCTGCTGCTTCACTTCACTAACTGAGAACAGTTTGTCCATTCGTGTTAAGCTGCAATTTGGTACTTTGTGTTCGCTTCAAAAATTCATTTGAATGAATAAAATTACGATTCTATTCGTGCAGCGGCTGCATCTTTCAGACAAATTTACTAATACTAAGTAAAGATTACGTAGTATCAGCAATTAAGGGAGATTCAAATCTTCCTTCTGCCTCTACTCGCTATACTGCAAGTAGGGACATGTCTACTAAACAAAAAACGAGACAGTGTTCCCCTCGGGCCCACACTTATGCACCGCAAAATTCTTTAGGAATCCCAGTTTCCAAAAGGAAACTAGTAAAATTAAGTTATGCTGGAATTGGAGCAGAATGTCTCTTTAACCACACCACAACTACGAACAAATTTTGCATACATATAGCCAACCAATTGCATATGTTTATGGTTATACTATGCACTCACACATGCAACTCCACCCTTTGATCTGCAGTGAAGAGGGAGAACATATCAATAGATGCAATATTCAGACACTGAACGGTCTCTGTATTCGGAGATCGTAGATACAGCTTCAGGGCTCCCCTTGCGCATGATCCTGACTTAGTGCTTGGAGGTATGACAGTATGTCCCTCCTGGTGCAATGTTTCAGGATGGCACAAGCAAGTCCAAGGGAATATGTAAAGTCCCAATACAGACCACTGGGTCAAACATAAGAGCTTATGATCTTCTTTGAAGCTTCCAGTCTTCTCCTCCTGGAATATCCAGATAGCTCTACAAAAACGAAGCATGAGCATATATGTTTACTGGCTGAGAGGGACAGCTGAGTACCTGGATCAGCTTTAATTATATATAGATACCAGTCTTTCTCCTGCAAGAGTAGACTGGAAAAGGCTTGTTGGCCAGGCGCACCAAGGTAAGTTGCCAAAACCGGTTAGACTACTTTGTGTGGGACGCTGTGGCACTCTTGCACTATAACCACAAAAGAAGTCTGTACCAGCAGTACCCTAGCCCGTTCCCTAGTAGTGGAGCAGATAAATTTGAAAACTTTTGCCCTCTGACTTGAGTCTCTGCCGGGCTCTGAGGCTCGATGTTTGTTGGCTTCCGAGCTTCTGCAGGGACCGAAAGCCGAACCAGTTGCTATTGCTTGGCTGAGAATGTAAGTGGACTGCTCTCAACCAATGGAGGGCACTGCCAAAGGTGTATTTATATCTTTGGCAGTAGAGGTGTTAAACTCTGTATGTGCTGCCTTTCAAAGCGAAACGCTGCACATACAAACTTTAGGCACCATGACCACTTCAAGTCACTGAGCGATCATGGTGCTTGATAGGGACAGACTGATGATCAGTTCCGATGATTATTAGAGCGGATATTAGACATATTTCCTATCATCTATATCAGTCATGTAACTTACCAATAACTTACTCACTTCTCCTAATCACTATGCAACGTTTCCCACATCCATAAACTCCAGCAGCCACCCAAAGAGGCGCCACATCACAGTCCCTACTTTGTCTCAGTTTCTCTCTCGACTGGATAGGAATTTCAGTGAAATTCTAACACACTCCTAATGAGTATTTCAGAATGATCCTATCTCGATGAAATACTAATTTTTCAGAGGGATAATAGTGACACTTCAGGGATACACAGCGCATTACCAAAGCCGGTCCTTCTCATAGACAAGTTGATCGCTGAAGCTTTGACTTTTGTCAGCCTGAACATTGCCAAAAAAAAAACTAAGCAATCCCTTCTTTACCTTTAGATCTATTTTATCGCATTGGCATTTGGCACTTGCAATCTGTCACCATGAGAATTTGATAAAGATTTTTATCTTCGTGAAATACTCATGATATAACAGAGCTGCTTTAACCGTGTACATAACACAAAGCAATTTAAATCTATTATTATTATTAGTATTTAAATCCCTGTGAGCCCTTGTGTGTAAATGGGGCTCTGTCACTCCAGCCGGTGTCAGTGTACAAGCTGCTAGTGTTGGAGGTCAATAAAAAGGACAGGGCCGATATCATTACTGGAATGTGCCTTACCCGTATTGGGAACCTCACGGTACCATGCCCGATACAGCTCCCGAACTCGACGTTTCGCTTCCCCCAAATCGCGGCTCAGCAGCGGTCTCACGGCAGTAGCTGCACGAACCGATGCATTTGCAGCAGAGGTCGCCGCCATCTTTCTCCACCCTCCCCAGACAAGCACTAAAGCAGCCAATCAGCAGCAAACGTAGAACAACGTAACGGAGACCTAAACACGAGAGTCCCAGACAGCTTCTCGCCTGTTCTTCGAAACAGAGTTCTAAACACAAGAACTTTCCTTGGGTGTCTTTCCCCCCCTCTTCCTTTAATTTGCTGTAGTCTAACTTCACATACAGTGTGCCAACACATTCTTATTTTTATTTTTAAATAAATGATATTGCAGCTTCGGTAAAATATAAAGAATTTGACATTCAGTCAGCCAGGCAATAAGAAGAACTACGTGTTCCGGCATGCTGTGCGGCAACGTTGTCGCGTACATGACGTCACGGCTTGAAGACACATTCTCCCATCTAAGATGGCGTCACACGTGGAGCAGGAGGATGCAGCCGATCAAGTAGAAGAGAAATCAACTTTCAAAGACCTGGTGAGCAGCCGTCAGAGAGCGAATGAAGGGCTCGGTGTGTTAGGGATATAAAGTAGGGAAAGGGACCTTTTATTCTTTCATCATTTGTGAAAAGCTTGTTTGAAAGTTCCATCACACAGGCAGTCTGCTGTAAATTACTATACAGTGTATGTGTGTATATATATATAATTTTATTATTTATGTAGCGCCATCAGATTACAAAGGGTATATATCGATTTTAGAAGGTCACATCGGTTCATTGAGCATCATTGATAAATGAAAAACATGTCGTGCCTTCACCTGTAGAATAGGTAGTTGATTACAAACATACAATGTTTTACTTGTTCCTGTTCCCTTATAATCTGCTCGTTTAAATGGTTATGCCAACCACCAATACTACCTGCTTTAAAAAGTGGTCATGGTGGTAGGAGTCTGAAAAACATGCGCATCCAGAGATATTTCCAGTTTTGTGACAGGGGAACTCCCCCCTGCAATGTGTGACTTGTGCAGCCTGCCTAATGTTAAAACTGTGCAAAAGTGTAACTCTTTCATCCACGCCCTCAACTTGTTGAGCTTTCTCTTGCTGGGTCATCATGGCAGTGTCAAAGCAGATATTTAGTTCATCCATGGATACATAGAAAAATACCCAAAGGTAATCTACAATACAACAATAATAGAGAAAACCATAGTGCAATAATGTTGTAACAATTCTGAGTGAATAATTGAATAAATCACACTCTTTATTTGATGTGCCTTTTTGCCACTTTCATCCTGTAAGTGTGCCTTTCTATTAAAGTGTCATTTTTTTTTGCTAAGATACTCTGCACTATTATTTAATTTTTTTTCCTTCTATATCTGCCATGATGTTTCACAAGTCCTGAGGCTTCCATAATTTTATGATATGCCTTCAATCAATTTTGGTTTGTGAGTGTGACTTATCCAATTATTCACTCACAATTGTTACAACATTATTGCTAGAGATGTCGCGAACTTCCCGTGAACCGTTCGTGGCGAGCTCCGGTCAGCTGACACATCCCGGCCAATCTCCAGCAGACCCTCCCACCTCCTGGACAGCATCCATGTTGAATCTGCCGGGAAGTTCGCCAACGGTTCGCGACATCACTAATTATTGCATTGTGGTTTTCTCGATTATTGTAGATTACCTTTGAGTATTTTTCTGTATTGCTTTGAGGGCTGAGAGGAATCCTTATCTACAATATCTACATTATAAGGGTAATTGTTGTGATTTGTTTTTTACCTATTGCCCACTGAGTGTGTGTTCTATCCACCAATAGGTGTATCTGTGTGTGTGTGTGTATGTGTATATATATATATATATATATATATTATTTTTTTTATTTTTTTTTGGTTATCCATGGATACATGATGACTTGCTTTAAAGGGTTACTGCAAGACTCAAAGAACCATGACCAATTTAGTGCTTGGCAGTTTTCATGGTATATGTGTAGCTTTTGCTGTAAAATTATTTATATAGCGCTGTACAATGCTGCACATACAGAGTTTAACCTCTCTTGTGTTGTGCTGAAGCTATATTTCCACCTCTGACCGCATCACTGGGATGTTATGAGCTAGCCAGGGACTAGAGTTCAGGGCCGGTTAATGTCATGAGAACGGTCAGCTGACATTCTTTGCTTATGAATGTCAGTGGCCGCTGCTTCTGTGGTCTGCAGAACCCAAAGAGTGTCACCAGATTACCAAGGAGCCTTGCAAAACTGTTTGACCAATTTCCAGGGAATCTGGCCAGGGAACTGTGGTGAAAAGGTCCATGAACATATTTGAATGTGATTGGCCAATCCTTTGGTAATTGGAACATACATGCAGATCACTTATTTATGTCCAGATTTTTACAATACAATGACTGCTATATTTCATGTTCATTTGTGCTTAGGGGGTAGTCGATGTCTTGTGTGAAGCCTGTGAACAGCTGGGATGGAAACAGCCAACCAAGATCCAGATTGAAACTATTCCTGTTGCCCTGCAAGGTGAGGAATAGGATATTTATTTTAATATTTACATCTGGTTCTCTTGTAATAACGTGAGCACTATCAGTGTACAATACCCATGCTGTCTGCTGTTCGCGGAAAATGTATTGAACAATCGGTCGGTTGCATCTATATAAGATAATGCACGGTAAATGACTTATCCTCATCATGCAGAAGTGACTGTTACTTGTTTCTACTTATCGGTAAACGCTATTGCAGTGTTAAGCAAGATGAATGGTGCAATGGAAGTTATTAAAAATAACTTTGCCATTATGTTATGCCTCGGGTACACTTGGCATTTTCTTCAGTGTGAACTGTTAATTTATGATGAAGCATGTAACTGAGAATAAACAAATCTGTAAACATAGAGGATGTTTCTTTGTTTACAATTGTGTGGAATTGAAAAAAAAAAAAAAAATGTCCAAGGTACTAAAGTGGTAGCCCAATCTACTTGGTCTGATACAAAATAATATAAATAACAAAGATCGGAGGCACTTGCCTAGACCCGTGGACATTGACAGGGCTGTTTGCTAAACTCATTTTTACAAATTGAATCTATTTGAAAAATAAAATAGGGGCAAAAACCGTTGAACACTACATCAAACCAACATACTGTACATCCCAATTTCATATTACCAGCAGCTTTAATCCTGCAGTCGGTCTGCAGTTGTCTCCTTGACTTATCTTTCCTCATTGCACAGATCTCCGACCTCCGGGATATGATGTCATGTTGTATCCCAGCGGCCATTAACTATGTGCATTGCTTGGAGCGTTTGCTGCTCCTCGCACTTTCCCATGCCCTGAGTTTACTGCTGCTCCATCTGGCTTTAGGCACAGCAGACAGTCGTTCAACCGCTTCAGTACTACATCCATACACCCCCCCTTGCAGCAGAGCTAAAAGAATCGAAAAACAATTTGATCTACTCCTGGAACTGTATTTTCCTGACATATGGTGGCAGTACAATAGGGATGTACTCTTCCCTCGGGAAAAGCATCTGAACTAATTAACAAAAAAAGTTTCTCCCCTTACCAGGTATAAGAGACCAAACCAGCCCTGGGACCTCAGTTCTCTTTCTTGTTCCATCAGGAACGGACGGCATCTGGAATGAGATGGTGAGGCACATGGGTTGCTGCCAGGGGGATCCTGTCTGATAGCCTCCCGGGTGGAGAGCTGAATGGCCAGCAAGCATCCTGCAGGATTACGGAGCAGGTATGGTAAGCCTGCTTTATGCCAAGTGCAGTTACCGGCGAAGCAGGGAGGCGGTTTCTAGTGGCAGCACTAGACAAGGCTGCCCGTCAGACACATGCGCACGACGGTGGAACGCACGCCCGGGCGGTTATGCGTTCCGACCGCGCTATGCGCATCTGAACTCCACCCGAAATGGAGATATAAACAGATCTTACTGTCAGCATGGAGCTCGGCAGTGAAGGTCTCCCGTGTAACCAGCTCCCCCCCCCACGGGTCAGAAGTTTTAGAGATAAAGATTCTTTAGGTCTCTAATCTTTAAAACTCTCTATATTTTTATTGTTTCTATAAATGTGGTTTATTTGCTTATCTATTGCAGATATGACTAGTTCTGTCGCTACTGATAATATGGATAAAGACCAAGTACCTGCACCTGCTTCTAAAAAAAAAAAAAGCCAGTTCCAAAGCTAAACATCTCTGTTGTAGTGAATGCTCCACTCCTTTACCAGATGGTTTTAAAAGGAAAGTCTGTAATATTTGCTCTTCTTTGACACTAGAAAAACTAAGCAACAAGAGATGAAATCTTTTTTGTCTTGGTTTCAGGATAATCTGTCCCAGTCCTTTGAGTCTTTTAAAGAGCCTGCACACACTTCTCTTGTAAAAGCTACTAAACAGAAGTCTAAAAGGAAGAGAACACCGTATAGTTCAGAACTATCCTCGGGTGAATGTTCTTTTTCTCATTCAGAATCCTCTAGCGACTCTTCTGTTACTGAGGTTAGTTTTCCTCATGATGAATTGAGAAAATTTATTAAAGAGGTTAATGTTTTCCTTTCTGATGAAACAGTTGTAAAATCCAAGGGTAAAGCACTTCCAGTCCAACAAAAAATGCTGGATTTGATATACAGAGAATGGAAGAACCCTGAGAAAAGGGCTTTTATCAACAGACATTTTAAAAGTATTGTTAAAATGGAAGAGGAAGATAAATGGGAAAAATTGCTGGTAGTTGATGTATAAGTGGCTCAATTGTCTAAAAAAAAAACTACCATACATATTGGTGAAGTTTCTGGTCTGAAAGACCCTATGCATAAGAGGGCTGAAACTTCCAGCAGAAGGGCTTATCAGGCTAAAGCAGCATTAGCCGGGGCTTCAGTGGTGATAGCCCAGAATCTTTGGCTTAACACTTTGGAAGATGGTCTGGATGATAACAAAGACAAGGGCCTTTCCCTCCTGTTCCAAAATTTAAGGTTGTCTAATGGGTACCTTATGGATATTATCACGGAGGTGATTAAGCTTTCGGCTCGTGTCATGGGTTTGACATCTGTGGCCCGAAGAGCACTGTGGCTTAAGGCCTGGACAGCAGACACGGTATCAAAATCTGCATTATGTGAACTGCCGTTGGAGAAGAAAAAGTTGTTTGGTTCTCCTTTAGAAGAGTTAATCCGACAGATGTCGGATACCAAGAAGGCCCTGCCTCAAGACAGGAAATATGCCTGGAAACCCAGGTATATAAATTTCCAGTTCAAAAACCGTAGGAGCTTTCAAGAAAAACCCAGGTTTTTTTCGTCAACAAAGGAAAGATCCAAGATTTGACACACAAAAAGACAAGAAGTCTGACAGAAACAAACGTTTCTGACGCCATCAGAGTGGGCGGAGGGTTGCAAGGTTTTGTTCACATATGGTGGGAGACCACTATAAATCCATGGATTCTGAATCTGGTGCAAAAAGGATACCGAATGAAATTCTTAGATGTTCCAAGACCAAGTTTTCTTGTCTCCTCATACCGGTCGAAGTTAAAAAACAAGCCCTTTTTTCTGCCACGGTCTCCCCATTAAGTAAAGGTGTGGTAGAAAGAATTCCAACTTCCCAAGTATATCAGGGTGTATACTCCCGGTTGTTCTAAAAAACCTTAACAAGCTGATTCCTTACCAACATTTCAGAATGGAGACTATAGCATCTGTCACTCATATCCTTCGAAAAGGAGATTTCATGGCAACTTTCGATCTAAAGGATGCCTACCTGCATATTCCTATGGATGTGAAATCAAGAAAATACCTGAGGTTTGCTATAAGGAAAGGGAAAAATGTCCATTTCTAATTCAGAGCCCTTCCATTCGGGCTAGCTTCAGCACCCAGGATTTTTACAAAGGGCCTCACACCTGTCACAGCTTTTTTGAGGATGCAAGGAATCACAGTAGTACCTTACTTGGACAACTGGTTAATAAAGGCAGACTCAAGAGGCGCTCTAGAATCAGATGTGGCCTATACACTAGAAATCCTGGAAGAACATGGTTGGATTATTGTAACGGACCGTTTTGCACACAAGGGGTAAAAACTGTTTAGGCGATCGGCCCCCTTTCCAGAGATACAGGCACAGCTACTGCAGAACACCAAAACTCACGAACTGGATACAAAATAGCACTCCAACTCCCGAACTGGAACCTCACGAATAGCTGCCAGCAGACGAACAGGAAAAGCTCCCAAGCGGCTTACACTCCTGGCAATCAGTCTCCAACAGCATACAGTGAATCCCCCCAAGAACAAGACAAGGCTCCGTGTTGAGGGTCAAGCAGTGGTCTGAGGTGCTGGCACACCCAGCCTGGTTTTTATTACAGTCTTGCAAATACAGGACCGCCCACAGGGAGGTATAAAACAACCAATCACATCACAGTTACATCCCACATATTCCCTCCCCTTATCCTGAGAGGAAACTCAATTATACATACAGATAAAACATACTTTCTACCCAACTTTCATAACTCTAAAACCATACATCACATTCACATAAAATTACATATGCACAATCAATCCATTCAGGGGAACAACATATTCAAAAATGGCACAAATCAGACAAGGGGTTCAAAGGTTAGTAAAAAGTCCTTTGTGACTAAATGAAGCATGGCTTTCTGGCCCAAACCAGTTTCAGAGTCTTCTATCCTGGAGATAAGTAATTCAATTATCTCCCAGGATAGACACAAGACTCCATTAAGCACATGGTTGCAAAAAGACACAAAACACTTTAAAATACATAGTCACATTTATACATAAAACACAGACATTTCACATATCCCCAGATAGCTGGGATCTGAGTGCACATTATTAAGTGAATGGCGCTCAGACCACACGAATACAGTTTAATCGCCATGGAGCCAAAGTCTTTACAGTCAGTTTCATACAAATGGGCTCCATGGGATTCCTATCTGGGGTATAAAACATTCAAACAAATCTACTGAACCCCAGGCAGAAAAGCACGAATACAGCTTTTCTGCAGGCAAAAATAAAGTCTTTTAAAAGGGGGCCATAGTCCAAAGGCAGCAGGCGAGCAACCAGGCTTCTCCAATGCAATGTGGCGAGATTGGTCTCGTCACAATTATCAACCTAGAAAAATCACACCTTACCCCTACAAGGTCTGTCCTGTTTCTAGGGTTTTTGATCAAGTCAGACACTCTGTTGGTTCATCTGAAAAGCGAAAAAGGATAAAGATTTTAATTAAAAAACCTTCTTTGGATTTCAGAATGTTCGGTGAGGAAAGCCATGCAGGTTTTAGGTCATCTGACCTCTACAATCCCGGCAGTAAAATGGGCCAGAGCAAAATCAAGTCCCTTAGTGGGTAATTCTTGTCCAATGAAGGAAGAAGACTTGGATGCATTAATGAGTATATCAGACCATACAAAAAAAAAAACTCTCTTGGTGGCTAGAGGAAAAATTCATTACAGAAGGCCTGTCTTTTCGTCAAAAATCTTGGATCGTGATTTCTACAGACGCTTCAAACACAGGTTGGGGAGCTCACCTCCTGTATCACTTAAGACAAGGTGTTTGGTCGAAAAAGGAAACCAAGGAATCTTCAAATTTCAAGGAGTTGTTGGCAGTACTCAACGCTCTTCAGCAGTTCAAGGATTTTTAGTGTAGGAAAAGCTGTAAAAATACAGTCGGATAATCAGACTTCAGTCTCCTACCTGAACAAACAAGAGTAAAAAAATTGTATTTCCTTTGCTCACGGATTATGTCATGGGCTCAAAGTCATCTAGACAAATAGAAAAATCCCAGGCACTCACTGTGATTGTTTCCAGGCAGATTTTATTGCAACGTTTCGACCTGTTAAGGTCTTTATCAAGCTAGCTCCTTTTTTTTTTTTTCTCTCCTCCAAGGTTATCAACCAACCTACTTTTCTTCCTTCCTTTAATGGTCCATCTATTCCAGATTGGGAATTTGATTGGAGCCAACTAGATGTTGGTAGGTCTCTGAAAATCTACTTGGACCGCTCCTCTGCGTATTGGATGACTAGCTAGCTTGATAAAGACCTTAACAGGTCGAAACGTTACAATAAATCTGCCTGGAAACAATCACAGTGAGTGCCTGGGATTTTTCTATTTGTTCCTATTTCCTTGGGGTTTTTTGCTGACCCATGCTAAGTAGCACCCTGTGTTGAATTGTTGTGACTGAGTGCGACCCTACCCTTTTTTCCTATTACAAAGTCATCTATACGACATTTCCGCCATTCACATTCGAGGGGTAGACAACATGGTAGCGGACGATTTAAGCAGATCAAAATTGTCCCAGAACAAGTGGTCTCTCAATCCAGAAATTTTCGCTCATCTGGTGAAGAGATTTGGTCTTCCAATCATAGACCTTATGGCAAGAAGATCAAATGCAAAAGTGAAATCGTTTGCCTCCCTCTTAAAGGCAGACAGGCCACTGGTAATGGATGGTCTTTCGATCTGGTGGGATTTTTCCCCCAGTAAGCCTTGTCCCAAGGATTCTGCAAAAGGTAACATGAGATCAAGCTCATATTCTGGCCATAATACCGTACTGGCCAAACTGCAGCTGGTTCTCAGTTTGAAAGAAGATGGCTTTAAAGTACTGGATTCTCCTGGTAACACCGGATCTTCTGGAAAACAAGGGAATTCCAGTAGAAGTATTGAACATGTTCTGGTTGACAGCTTGGCTGCTGCATGGCTAATTCTGCATAATAGGGGCATTAAAGAAGAGAGGTTTCAGTTACTGTTAAATTCTACCAGGAACTCTACCTCTTCTATCTACTTAAAGATATGGACGAGATTTCTTCACTGATGCATATATCATCGTTGAATAGGATCCTCTCCTTCTACTGATACTATCCTTCATTTTTTTGCAAGACGGTCTTGCTCAAGGTTTTAGTCTGTCTACCCTCTAAGTCCAAGTTTCCGCTCTGTCATGTTTTGATAAAAAAATTGGGCTTCTGATCCTCTCATTAGGAGATTTTTATTTTTTTATTTTTTTAAAGCTGTAAGACTTGTAAAGCCTCCTAAGAAAATCTGTTTTCCCTCTTGGGATTTGTCTTTAGTTTTGAGATCTCTGTGTACTCAGCCTTTCGAACCTTTGGAAGAAGCTTCATTGAAGAATCTGTCCCTGAAGACCGTGTTTTTGGTGGCCATTACTTTGGCTAAGAGGATAGGGGAACTCCAGGCACTTTCTTCCTCTCCTGACTTTACAAAATTTCTTCCGGATAAAGTGGTTATGTACCCTAAGCCTTCCTTTCTTCTGAAAGTCATCTCCTCCAAGGTTATCAACCAACCTACTTTTCTTCCTTCCTTTAATGGTCCATCTATGCCAGATTGGGAATTTGATTGGAGCCAACTAGATGTTGGTAGGTCTCTGAAAATCTTCTTGGACCGCTCCTCTGCGTATAGGATGACTGATCATCTATTCGTGAATTTCTTGGAAAATTTAAAGGCCATGTTGCCTCCAAGGCCACTTTGGCAAGATGGCTGGTGGATAGTATTGAATTGGCTTATTCTACCTCGAATCTACCTCTGCCTGCCTCCTTGAAAGCACATTCTACTAGAGCCATGGCTGCCTCTCCGGAAGACAGATGCAAGGCGGCTACCTGGTCTTCTTTCAACACTTTTGTCAAACATTACAGGCTAGACGTATTCTCTGCGTCTGACGCTGATTTGGGCACAAGGTGTTACAAGCTGCTATTGCCTAAATTCCCGCCTTGAGTCTGGGATCTCGATATATCCCTATTGTACTGCCACCATATGTTAGGAAAAACTGTAATTTTACTCACCGTAAATTCCTTTTTCCTTAATATGGTGGCAGTACATCAATCCCTCCCTGTGTGTGTATATATATATATATATATATATATAATTTTTTGTGTGTTCTATGGATTCACTGAGGTGTTCTTGGTACGTACTGAGGTCCCAGGGCTGGTGTAGTCTCTTATATCTGGTATGGGGAGGAACTTTTTATGTTAATTATTTCAGATGCTTGCCCCAAGGGAAGAGTACATCCCTATTGTACTGCCACCATATTAAGGAAAAAGGAATTTACGTTGAGTAAAATTAGTTTTCTCAGTCGTCGGAGGTTATAAATTCCACATCCCTGGTCTAATATTTTTAATGTTTTAGTCTGCGTATATAGAACATCCGAAACATAAATATGTAAATTGGGTACGTTTGAGATGTAAACTATTTTGTTCTTTAATCTCAGTAGGGCTATTAATGTTATATGTTGAAGTAGTTTTACCAAACCTCAGTCTATAAAATATAATAAAAGCTTTCCAGTTTGCAGCATTCTAAATTTATACACAGTGGTTTGTGTTTTCCATTATCACCAATTTCTCCCTATAGTATCTAGTACTGATAAATTGCTTGGTAGAGTTTTTGACCATCTTTCCACTTACAGAATGTGTTGGCTTTTATACTCTTGTAGCTTTTTTTTTTTTTTTTTAACTTATTTGGCAATTTCCATCCTTTTAGGAAAAGACATAATTGGTCTCGCTGAAACTGGCTCTGGAAAGACTGGTGCCTTTGCTATTCCAATTCTTCAGTCTTTGCTTGAAAGTCCCCAACGGCTTTATGCTTTGGTTCTCACCCCCACCAGAGAATTGGCTTTTCAGATTTCAGAACAGTTTGAAGCTCTTGGCTCTTCAATTGGTGTCAAAAGTGGTATGTGAACATTTTCTTTTTCATTTTATTTAGCAGACTTTTTTTGAATATTTTGTTATCATGTTAATTTTATACAATTTGCTATATGTTGTATGTCTAGACCTAACAGGTACTGTGCATTTAGAAAGTCTTGACACCCCTTCATTTTTTCAACAATCTAAACTCAATACCTCGTAAGTACAAAGCAAAAACAAAATTTTATAAACCAAATATATTAAGCAGAAAAAAAAAAATCGAGGTATCAAGTTGACATAAGTATTCAGAGCACCGACTCAACACATACTTGAAGCACCTTTGGTAGCGAATACAGCCTAAGGTCTAATTTGTAATGGTGCTAAAGGCTTTACACCCATGTGTGTGGGTAATCTCTGCAGATTTTCTCAAACTCTGTCACATTGGATGGGGACTGTCTGTGGACAGTCATTTTCTGTTTTTCTCCAGAGATATTGAATTGGGTTCAAGACAGGACTCTGGCTTGGCTGCTCAAGCACATTCACAAAGTTGTACCTAAGCCACTCTTGCATAGCCTTGGCTGTGTGCTTAGGGTAATTGTCCTATTGGAACATATTTTAGGAGAACTCTTTTTTTAACATCCAGGTAATGGAAACAAGATTCTTTGGCAGAAAGTAGGCAGAATAATATCATGGTTTTACCGTAGAATCACAAAGTACCTTTGAACAGTTGTTTGATAGGAATGTGTAAGTCAGATCTAGTCTCTGTTTAGAACAAAGTAGAAAGAATTAGTCTTTCTGAAATTCTTTTATTGAGGGGGTGGAGGGGGGAGAAGATTCCCAAAGGAATACACCAACTACACAATTTATACCATATAACCTCATAAATCATAGATGTAGAAGACTGGCTGTCTTGAAAAAATATATTGATGACTTCTTCATCCAAAATCTTTGAGTTCAAGTACTAGTCTCTCAGCACACATGCTGTAATCTTGAAGGTTTTTAATACTTCTGGTGAGATTCTCTGATTTTTTTAAAGCAGATGATCTTATGAACCAGTGAGCTTTTACTAGTGACCAGAGAAACTTATATGGAATGTAGAAGGTATTTGAAAAAATCCAGTTGGTCCAGCCTGATGTGGACTGCTGATATGGCTGACACATGAACTCCTGCCCAATATGTGATATTTCTAAAAAGAGTTATGATAATGGAATTCTCATGACTCCCTGCTGATGCTGTATGCCACTACTGTGTGATTGCACTGCATGATTTTCTAAAATCGACTGGAAATGTATAAATTTTAAAGGACCACTATAGGCACCCAGACAACTTCAGCTTAATGAAGTGGTCTGGGTGCCAGGTCCAGCTAGGGTTAACCCTTTTTTCTATAAACATAGCAGTTTCAGAGAATATATTAGGGTTAATCCAGCCTCTAGTGGCTGTCTCATTGACAGCCGCTAGAGGCATTTCCGTGCTTCTCACTGTTAAAATCACAGGGAGAAGACGCCAGCGTCCATAGGAAAGCATTGTGAATGCTTTCCTACGAGACTGGCTGAATGCGCGCGTGGCTCGTGCCGCGCATGCGCATTCAGCCGAGGAGAGGAGGGGGAGAGCTCCCCGCCCAGCGCTGGAGAAAGAGGTAAGTTTAACCCCTTCTGCCCCCTAGAGCACGGCGGGAGGGGGACCCTGAGGGGGGGCACCCTCAGGGCACTATAGTGGTCCTTTAAGCGCTGTATTAAACTGTCTACTTTAGCACAAAAAAAAATTCCCTTCCTTGGCATCAGATGGGTCTTTTTGTTCAGTCTATAAGTCCTAAATATCAGATGTTTCACATTTTGTAAGCAACCAAAGGGACTGTAGGAATAATATAGCAACTATGGTGTATTTGTTCAGTTATTCTGCTGGTCCCACTTTAGTAACCAATCATCTAGATATGGAACAACTGGGGGTTGTTTTTGTTTGTTTTTTTGCTTCACCACTATATTGAGTATAGATTAATGTGAATACATATTTAAACAATTGTGGCATAATGCTGCAAAATAAAATGTTAAAAAATAAATGTACTGTGTGTGTATTTGTATACTGTATATCACTTATTTATTTAGTCCTATTCTACTAGCCAGGCCTTGAAGCCTGTTGCTTCAGAACATGTTCCCCTTGAGGTTTTCCCCAACCTACCTAATATGCTCTCTCTATCCATTATGCTCTTTAATAATGTCCAATTATGTCTTCTCTTATATTTCAGCTGTGATTGTAGGGGGCATTGATATGATGTCACAGGCATTAACACTGGCAAAAAAGCCACATGTTATAATTGGTAAGTTTCTTTTTTAAGGTGTTTAATGCAGAATTCTAATAAATATAACTGCAAATCACAATAAATGAATACACTCTGTTAATGACTTCATATTAAATCGAGAAGGATTTGTTTAGACTTCGATTTTATTAACACTTGCTGTTAGCCATTATTAAATCAATTATAGGTAGAGGCGTTACCGGTCTAAATATGTGTAATGCTCATACAGTGTCTTTCTGCATTTTGTGTTTACATTTTATGAAGAGCACATCTCATCTTATATGAAATGTTTTGTAACCTTGTATAATGGTGAACAAACGTGGTTTGGAAAACTACTCTGCTTTGCCAGTGCAGAGTACCGTAAAATTGGTACAATTATAAATACTTGGTGTGCTGTGCCATCTTGTGTCATAACAAATATCATGTGGTATGGCAGCAATATTGGTTTACATGACCAATTGTGAAAACTCCTCAAATAAATTTATTAAAAATATATATGTTACTATTTAACACTCTACCGCAATATCTGCTTAGGTGCTATAACCCGGCTCTTTTTTTCTTTGCAATCTCGATTGCTGCTTGCAGCTATAGCTTTCTTTTTTTTTTTTCTTCAGCTACATGTTACATTTTCACTATGAGTTTAATTTACGCTGATTCATCCAACTACTTTTAAAACCTCCCAAATTGTATTCAACTAAATGGTGTCTGAGATTCCAATAAATAATCAAAGGATGAACCACCCTCCAGAAAGTAATAAAACATAACTTTTAATCCATCTTACATGTAATGCATTGTTTTGAACTGTGATTGATGCACAAAAATCTCTATGTACTGCTCAGTCACATGTCACATTATATATACTTCTACTTGCAAGAGACACAAAGGATTTGCATATACTTTTCAAAACTTATAAAGAAGTTATGCACCATACTAAAATTAAAAAAAATCTGCTTTGGAATTGTAGTTTATTTTCAATAAGCAATTGACGTATATTGGCTATTAATATTAACATATTGGTTTGTTTATTCATATTGGTTCTCTTTTACCTGTATAAATTTTGTTAGAGCAGCTAGCAGCCTCTTGCACTGGGTAATGTTTATGTACTTGTATTATTAATTTTGAATATAGATTTTACTAAGACAATCCTTAGAGGGTTGTTTTTTTTTTTTTTGTTTGTTTTTTTTTTTTTAAGTATGGTTGTATTCATGCAGTGTCTTCTATCTTCCTAGCCACACCAGGGCGTCTTATTGATCACCTGGAGAATACAAAGGGCTTTAATCTGAAAGCACTGAAGTATCTGGTGATGGATGAAGCTGACCGCATTCTCAATATGGATTTTGAAACCGAGGTGTGTAGCAAAATTGACTTCTTTGTTGTCAGTAAACAAATTCCTAGAACACTTGAAGTATTGACTACCAGAAATTTTATTTGCACAATCCTTTTAGGGTTGTTTTTAATTCCATGTATAGATTTTCATTAAGGAATTTACAAAAGCAGACATTTCTGAAAATGAGGGCAAATGTATGCTCATGATATCATGTAGGGAAGAGTGACATGTATTTTAGGCAATTCTCCGTAGTGAAATACATTTCCAAAAGCCTAAAACAAATTGCCTTTTTCATGTTGCATGAATATCACTCTTCATAACAAACCTTTTGGAAGTGTGCACCTGTAAAAATACTTTAATGGGCAGGCTGATATATGTTGGTTGATATATAGTTCTGTGTATACATAATTTGTCACTTCTCATATAGTGTTACATTTATTTTGTGATGTTTATGTTAATTTTGTCCTGATGTTAACTACTGTGAAGACTAAAGGGTCTTGATATTCCTAGAAATCTTTTTTACCTTTACAAATTATATGTGGTACTTTCATTCAGCCTGTGTATGTGTAATTGTCACTCAGTGATTGTATCTTTTTACAGATGGACAAAATTTTAAAAGTTATTTCCCGAGATCGGAAAACATTCCTGTTCTCTGCTACTATGACAAAAAAGGTAAGATAGCTAAATAGAAACTAATGGTCTTTACAGCAGTAGGACATCCTAAACAAGAAGGTCACAGCAAATAGTGCGATTTGTTTTTAAAAAGTGGGACAATCACAAATGGAAAACAGTAGAACCAACAGGCACATTCCATTGCTGACTCCTCCCATTTTACTTTATTGACCACTTTTGGGAGACCCTTTAATAAATCTAGATGCAAAGTAACTGGAGCGCTAAAATGGTATTGATAATAATATTATACAAAGTATGTTGAGCTGTTTATTCATAGAATATTTATGCTGCACACTATTGTATTTAACACACACACACACACCACAAAATAGAATAGGAAAAAAAGTGGAGCAATAATTAGGTAAAAGATCCCATACCAAAATTGAAAAATACATATGGTTTACTAAATCTCCCAGGCATGTTCCTGGACTGGCCTCTGCCTCTAAACGTAAACCAAATGCCGCTGTTGACAGCAGTGACTGACATAATGTGAGTCAGCCTGCCAGAAGGGAAAAGGACAGTGAGGCAGACACATAGTTAGTATTACTAATACATGTATACCTTTCTGGCTTGTAGGCTTGCCTATTTTATTCCATTTTGTTTAATAGTTTATTTAAAAATTTAGTTTGTTTCGTGGTGTATTTTGTTTTGTACTTTTAACTTTATGCACATAACCATGTGATGATTTTATTTTTCCAGGTACAAAAGCTGGAACGAGCTGCTCTTAAAGACCCAGTAAAATGTGCCGTTTCTTCCAAATATCAAACCGTGGAAAAGCTCCAGCAGTATTATATATTTATTCCTTCTAAATTTAAGGTATGTGTACAAATGTATGTATTCCAGGTTTTATTCATTTTATGATCACATATCACAAATGTGCATAATGCAAAAACTACATTCCTGCAATAAGCAATTTATGCCCCGGCCTCACGCAGAATTTGTGTAACTGCCAAACCATGGCTGCCTGTTCAAAGCCTGGAGTACAGCTTTGAGAAATGGGCTGTGTGCAGCGACCTGAAGTCTGTCACTGCTCTTGGCTGTAGCTCTTCTCTCTCCACAGGAGCAACTGCAGCAATTCTAAGTCACTCTTGACAGAATGCACTATGTTGCCTTAGGTAATCGTTAAAGGACCACTATAGTGCCAGGAAAACATACTTGTTTTCCTAGCACTATAGTGCCCCCACCCTCAGGGTCCCCCTCCCGCCCGGCTATGGAAAGGGGTTAAAACTTACCTTTTTCCAGCGCTGGGTGGGGAGCTCTCCTCCTCCGATCCTCCTTCTCTCCTCCCCGTCGGCTGAATGCGCACGCGCGGCAAGAGCTGCGCGCGCATTCAGCCGGTCACATAGGAAAGCATTCACAATGCTTTCCTTTGGACGCTGGCGTGCTCTCACTGTGAAAATCACTGTGAAACAGTCAAACTAAGCTCATAAAACAGGGGTTTTCTTCACATTCTGCATCTGAAGTGCATAGCACTATGCCCAAATAATGTATTTAAAGGGCAAGATCTTCCAGGGACCAAGAGGCTGGTAATTAGTCCTCTCCAGGCACAAGTGGCGAAGGGCACTTCGTCACAAATATTATTTGCATTTGTAAAACAGCAGTACAGTTAGACAAATGGTACTTTTTTTTTGCGGCCGCTCTGCTGTTAACCCTCACAGAACCATTTGTTTCAAAGTTTTTATTAACTTTTTGACAGCTGGCTGTGAATATTAATTTGCAGGAAAGCACTCATGAATCCTGCCTGAGCATTTCTGTAGTTCAGCTTTTGCAGACACTTCCCGGACCTGTCTAACTGGTTCTGCTGAATTGTAACACTTTTGGAGATAACTGGTAGATTAAGGCAGGTAGTAAGGCATGTGCACTACCTCTGTTGTTTCTGTTCCATATTTGCTTTGGCAGATTTGGAGCTTGATGAATTACTCTTTCAGTCTACAGATAGACCTAATGGTATCAGTACTGAACAACAAACTGGCTTAAATGTCCTGCTTTCTAAACAAAAAGGATCACCAGAAGTCCTGGATGCTTATCATGTGCCTTTGAATTATCTGCTTTATTTTTTCTTGCCTGTGCCATTGAATCAAAGAGTTCTCAGGCAAATTTAAAGTCTGCAGTGCAGTTGAAATGGCAAACCTTCCCACTTATGTTCTCCATAAATGTTAATAGCAAGGCAGAGATCAATTGTAGGAGGTTGGAGTTCATTGTTGTAGTGCAGTGCACTGCACTACATCTTCTAAAATGAAAATTTGACTCTGTACATAATTTAACAATGGTCTGCACTCTGATGGTAATGGTCTGCACTCTGATGGTAATATATGCACATTTATTAATAGCATTAAGTTTATTCTATTTTAAAATTGGTTTTCTCTCCAATACAAACTCTTTTCTCTACATATAAGGAAATATGGCTATATATTGGCACTATATCTTTGGTATCCTGAATTGATTAATAATGAATAAGATGACGTGACACTTCACATTCACCTTACGTTTTTGATCCTTTTATTTTCAGGACAGTTATCTTGTGTATGTTCTAAATGAACTAGCTGGAAATTCTTTCATGATCTTCTGCAGCACCTGTAACAACACACAGCGAGTGGCTCTACTGCTGCGCAACTTGGGCTTCACAGCTATTTCTCTACATGGGCAAATGAGTCAGGTATAACTTTAATGTTTATATTGTTTAAAGGTTGTATTTGACTCAACCTAAATTACTGTGTAACTGTTGTTCCTGTATAGCTGTCTAATGGCATTTAAATTATAACAGGCTGGGGTTTTACCGCCGTGCTAGAAGGATTTAAAGTTTTAATTGAACCAAGATAATTTTGCTTCCTTGTAATGTTGAATGACTCCTCTCATAAGTAACTAAACAATTCAGAATCAATTTATTTTGTATGTGTGTGTTCTGGATAACTATGCATAAATATTTTTTTTACTTTAAAATACATATATAGGCCAATCTAATGACAGTTTGTTGAGGGTTGAATGAGTTACTGAGCAATGAAGTCAAATATAAGAAGACAATATTTTAAAATGGATTTTTTGAGTACTTGGCTTTTTAAACTTCTACCTCTGCTTTATGTCGTCAGGATAGAATGCCTTCTTCACTTTGTTTTGGTTAGAACACAATCTAGTAGTATTTTTTTGGGGGGAAATTGTCAACTTTTTTTTTTTTTTTTACTCTTGCGCTATTAACAGAGCTGGAGATGAATTCTACATTAAAGGAACACTATAGGATCAGAAACACAAACATGTATTCCTGACCCTATAATGTTAAAACCACTATCTAGCCCCCCTTGAACCCGTCATGCCTCCCTAAATATAGTAAAATCTTACTTGTATTCAAGTCTGGAGCTGCTTGATTTGTTCCGGTTTCTTTTTGACCTGTCTGCTGACATCATCAGAAGTGGTAGCATGATCCAATCACAGTGCTTCCCCATAGGATTGGCTGAGACTGACAAGGAGGCCAGTCGGGGCAGAGCCAGCACAGTCCAAACACAGCCCTGGTCAATCTGCATCTCCTCATAGAGATGAATTGAATCAATGAATCTCTATGAGGAAAGTTCAGTGTCTGCATGCAGAGGGAGAAGATACTGATATGTTGTGATGCATTTTAGGCAGCCATGACCCAGGAAGGATCTCTAACCGCTATCTGAGGAGTGGCCAGTGAAGTTATCACTAGGCTGTAATGTAAACACTGCATTTTCTCTGAAAAGACAGTGTTTACAGCAAAAAGCCTGAAGGTAATGATTCTACTCACCAGAACAAATTCAATAAGCTGTAGTTGTTCTGGTGACTATAGTGTTCCTTTAATGCAAGAAATGAGGTGTAAACTTTAGATCTCACTTTATGGTAAGTGTTTAGGAAGGTTGTGCATGTTACTTGCAGGGAGTTGTGAAGAGGGCTTCAAAAACAATGATTTAATTCCTAAATGTCCAAGAATAGATCAATGACGACTGCAGTGGCATGATCAATACACTAAAATCATCCCATAAAGCTAAAATTGTTTTGGTGTCTATAGTGTCCCTTTTTACTTTTTTAATTGAATTCTCAAAATCAGTGTAATTTAAATTTTTTTCCTCCCTCATGTCACAGAACAAGCGACTTGGCGCTTTGAATAAGTTCAAGGCAAAATCTCGGTCCATCCTCTTGGCAACAGATGTTGCGAGCCGTGGTCTTGACATTCCACATGTAGACGTTGTAATGAACTTTGATATTCCTACCCATTCAAAGGTGAGCTAGTTAATTATAAGGTTTGTGTATTCATTAATATTAAACTTGTTAATTTATGAAATGACCAGAGAATTACTGTACCGATCATTGCATTAATCAGACATGACAAGATGTTGGTTTTCAGAAAGTAATCACCAAATGGTTAACTCATGCAATTTAAGAAAAAGCTCTAAAAATACAAAAGTGCTCTGTGCTCAAGGCGCTTATGAATACAATAAAGTGAAACAAAGTGTATTATAGTTATATACAATAAAGTCCAACAAAGTGAATGTTTTATTGTAAGCAGCTAAACCACTATATACGTACTCTCCACTCTAATTTTATTTAAAAAAAAAAAAAAAAAACCTGCCTTCTTGACTTGCAGTTCTGGGCACATTTATAAGCCACTAATACCTGTTGTTTTCTGGTATATTCTGATGTTTCCTGACCACCCCTTGATATCATTATTTCCCTATAATGCATGTGTTACTATACTGTATTCAGAGCTCTCTCTCATAACTTCATCACTTTAGTTATGCCTGGTGCTGGGGAGGCAAAGGTGTGTTCATGGAAAACACAAATGGGTTTGAAGTCACTGTATTTGTAATGTTGGGAAAGCAATTTAAAGCCGTTTTAGCATAGTAAGACAACAAATGAAAACATTCCATGTTGCTGTTTGCCTTCACTTTAGCTCTGTGCATTTTAAGGTAGGATTTACGGTTCTTTCCTTCTGAAATGCTTCTTTCGCTCGAAGGCTGGTCCTGTAGTTAGTTTTCTCTCTGTCTAATAATGTCTTAACAACCTAGATAGAAAACTATTGTTTGAAATTGAGTTTTATTTATTCCAAAGTTAGCAAAGGCCACCCCTCACAAGGGAGGAGACGGTAAACCTTTGTGTATGTCCAAACACTTTGTTTCACAAGTTTAAATTCATTTACATGATGTCTTAGAAATGGGGGGAAAAATACTCAAAACATTACAATCCTTGCTCTAAAGAAGCCTCTGATGCTATCAAGAGAGTGGATATGTCGTCTTTTGGACTGAAATCTCCTAGTTGTCTAATTTGCTAAATGTTTACAATAAAAACAAAATGTGCCAGATGTCCTTCAGAGTCTGATTCATGCAGAGGCACTTTTTCAACAAGTCTCTCTCAGGATTATCTTAATTTTCAGAAGACAACTGTTTCCATTTGAGAGCCTTCATAAAGTAAGATGTTTCTTTGATAATTGAAGAAGAGAAATGTTCTTACAAATTGTTTGGTTTTTCACCTTCCCAACTATGAATACTGTAGCGGGAGAGTTGCAAATGCTGAAAATAGAGGACTTTCGTCACAGACCAGTGTAAATGCTTCTGTCAAAGATGAGAAACCATTGAAAGAAGTCCCTAAGATTTGAAAAGGATTTTTAGAAAAAATCCATGTCCATGGTTTCCCTTTTTAGTGCATCGGTTGATAGAAATTCTGTGTGACTCCATGTCTGAAAGCTTCGTTATCTGGAGGATTAGTGGTGTTGGCCACAGTGGGCAGATTAACAGTAGTCTGGTTAAATTTCTGGTCAGCTAATACTCCCGTATCCACTCTCTGGCCATCATGGGATAAATTATTAAAATCTATAGCCAAAGAGAAAAAGGCCCCCTGGTGCATTTTTTTTTCTATCCTAACAAAATGCAGTTTTAAATTAGATCAACTTTGAGTTAGCCATTTCGTAGAAGATATTCTTACTTTGGAGACAGACCAAGATATAATAAAAAGAAAGAGGGAGTATTCTAGAAGCATTTGGTCATATAAAGTATGTTGCTAGGTCTTTTTTATACTTTCTTCAAATCTAAGAGCAGATCTTTGGGTTCTAAAACACATCTGAGGACGTTACAGAGAGTTTTGACAGTCTCTTCTTCTTTCCTCCAGGCTCAGTTCAGACATGCATTCTCCTCTAAGAAATGCTGGTAAACACATTGAAAAAAAACAAATGTAATGTTACTTGACACTGAATTTTCACTCGCCAGGGCTAAATCATTTAATTTGCTTAATGCTAGTGGCCCGTAGAATTTTTGGAACTTGAGTCAAGTTCAACTAGCAGAGTAGGTGATAAGTGTTTGTAAATTAAACACATTGTGAAAAGTGACCGTTAAATTCTGTCATAATGTTAAGCATATTTATTAAAGTAATCTAAAAAGTTGCTTTCTTCATAATAAATTATAATAGTTTTTGCAGAGTTTTCAATTTCAGAAGGACGTTAAATTTATATTGACGGAAAAAATGATCATAATTCCGTTGGCAAAAAATGGTGCAAATTGAAAAATGACAGGAAACAAACATTGCAGATGAAAAAAAAATCTGACCAGTTTAGTCAATTGCACCAGAAATTCAGAGAACATTTGTGTAATTGACACTTTGATAAATCTTGTCCACAGTGCTTTAAAATGTGATTAGAAATTGTTTTCTTTCATGCAAACTTTGTGGGGAGGTGTACTTAGAGCTGCACACAAAGTACAGAGAATAAACCTCATAGAATTTAGCTTAATGAAGCAATATACAGATCATGCCTGTTGCTAAAGTTGTTTTGTTGTTAAGAGTTTCCTTTAAGATTTCAACCCCTTAAGGACACAACCGAAATCCATTCCATCATGATTCCCTTTTATTTCTGAAACTGTGTCCTTAAGGGCTTAAGAAGAGCACATTTGCTTCCAAAAAGAAATTGTAAATGTAAACAATTCACTTTGCCATTCACATTTTCAGCAAAGGTAGATTATGTGGGCTCTTTGAATTTTGGATTACAAGTAGATAGGAATCCATTGTATATATTAAAAGCATCTTAAAATATCTGCATCATTGGGAAGTGCATGGCTTTCACCATATCTGCCTCCTCATCATTAACTACAAAGCCCTGGTGCACTGTTGTGCCTGCTTTGCTACCTCTCCAACTAACATTTCTAGCATAGCTCGAAGAGGTGCCAGAATTTTAGCTGAGGTATGCTGCTGAGCCATGTCTTCTGTCAACAACCATATCACCTGATGTAGATAGTAATAGAAATAAGAATTCTATACGTACCAGGAGATCTCTTGCTAATAGGTGCAAAATGGGAGAACTAGAAAGATATAAATGGTTTCAAACGGATGCTATAAAAGTCTTGGAAATGTATTGCTAAACGCACATACACTAGATGGCAGCCTAATACAGGAGGATAGCAGTCCTAGGGGTTCACAAACTAAACAGCAAAAACGTTTAAAATAATACTGAACAATACAGATAGTCTGGGAATAGCTTTGTAAAAGGAAAAAGAAACACATGTATCAAGGAGTCAGTTCAGTAGTCCAAATTGGATCTGTGAAGAAATGTCCAGTATATACTTGTAGCAAGTAAAGTCTTAGAAGCATATGGTACAAGTTGTAACATTGTTGCATTCAGTCTACTAAACGGACAGCAGCAAAAAAGTAACAAGTTGTAGGTATACTTTAACTAATACTGGTAAAAAGTAGAAATAGCTAGAACAGATGAACACAGATGTACTGGTAAAAAGTTGAAATAGCTAGAACAGATGAACACAGATGTTCATCTGTTCTAGCTATTTCTACTTTTTACCAGTATTGGTTAAAGTATACCTACAACTTGTTACTTTTTTGCTGCTGTCCTGTAGACAGAAGCATATGGTATAAGTTGTAACATTGTTGCATTCAAAGACTTTACTTGCTACAAGTATATATTGGACATTTCTTCACAGATCCAATATGGACTACTGAACGGACTCCTTGATACATGTGTTTCTTTTTCCTTTTACAAAGCTATTCGCAGACTATCTGTATTGTTCAGTATTATTTTAAACGTTTTTGCTGTTTAGTTTGTGAACCCCTAGGATTGCTATTCTCCTGTATTAGGCTGCCATCTAGTGTGTGTGCGTTTAGCAATACATTCCCAAGCCTTTTATAGCATCCATTTGAAACCATTTATATCTTTCTAGTTCTCCCATTTTGCACCTATTAGCAAGAGATCTCCTGGTACGTATAGAATTCTTATTTCTATTACTATCTGTTTTCTTTTTAGCTTTTAAGGGGGCTTTTTCTTTACCAGTAGAAGAACTCCTGCTAGTGCTTCACATTACTTTATTTTATCTCTCTATTTGTTCCGTTGTTTCCACTTTTTTAGGGTTGGTTTTCCTGCCCAATATATTTTTTATATCACCTGATGTGCCTGCACAGGGGAGCTTTGGCTGCCACTCGTGCCATTAAAGACGAAAAGTGTGCCGCGCGCTAGGGCTACTCTATATGTCTGTGGTGAAGTCCACACTCTTTCCACCTGCCCTGGGTACTTCATTCTTTAAAAGTGATACACATAAGCAGTACAGAGATGCTACTATTTATGCTAAATTTTGGTCAGGAAGGCAGGCAATTGGAAGCTAGAATCTGTATTCATTGTTTAGATGGCAAAAAAGCTCCTCTAACAGTTGGCTTATCCATCTTGTCACCTTATTTGATAGCTGTTTTGACATGCCCCTTACCTGTACAGCGCCAAATTCTTAAAGGATCAGTAGATGTCTTTTTTGCTCCCCGGTCTCTGACTAGTTTGGGCTTCGTTCCTACCTTTGGCCTTTCTCTCCTCCTGCAACAGAACAACCCTGTGATGTGTGTTCTCTCCATGCCACGAAGCCTGCATTTTGCCAAACACCCATCTTCCTTAGTGTAAACATGTTCCCACATTTTTTACCTTCACTGTAGATTTGCTTCTGCTCAAAGTGAAATAGAGGATCTTATGCTGCTCTGCTCCTTCTCCATTGAAGCACCACTTGAAAATGTTTCCCACTGTTTGTTGTAGTAGTGTTTTGTTAAGGCTATTTCGTGTAAACTGTCACCAGTGATGTTTTGTTTATGTGCAGTGTTAATATAAAGCTGGTTTTCATGTTAGATAAAATGTTTTTAAAAATTGCTTTTTGTTTTTTATTTTAAAATGTATTTAATTTTTTTTCTAACAGGATTATATACACAGAGTAGGGCGTACAGCTCGAGCTGGAAGATCTGGTAAAGCAATAACATTTGTGACTCAGTAAGTAGTTTTTCCGTATGAGGTTAAATGTATGTAAATTTAATTTCCTGTGGTTTTGTCTCTAAAAAGCTTGGAAAATCAAATATTGGTGTACTCTCTAAATCTGTGTTTTTTAATACCTTATTATGCGGGGAGGGGAGAGGGAATGTAACATTTAAAAACAGAAAATGTAAAATGCCCATTTCAGAGAAGCAATGTATACCATATATACTCAAGTATAAGTCTAGTTTTTCAGCACATTATTTGTGCTGAAAAACCCCCACTCGACTTAAACTCGAGTCAGTGTCTGTATTATGGCAACTTACATTGCCATAATACAGACCAGGACCGCCGGGCTCATTACAAGCCCGGTGGTCCTGTTGGGGGCTGGCAGATAGCTGTTACTTACCTTCCTGCAGCTCCTGTCAGCTCCCTTCTCCTCCACTGTAAGTCTCGTGGTGTGACTGCCGCGGGGAGCGTTGCCACGGTGATCCGTGGCAACGCTCTGACCCCGCGATTCTCGCGAGACTTGCAGTGGAGCTGACCAGACCAGAGGAGAAAGGAGCTGCAGGAAAGGTAAGTAACAGCTCTCTGCCATCCCCCCTCCTACACAGCCCATCCACTGGACCACCAGGGATGAAAATAAAAATTAAATAATAAAAAAAAAAAATTTACAATAAAAAAATTTAAATATTAAAATTTAAAAAGTAAATAATAAAATAAAAAAATACAAAAATTTTTTAAATATTAAAATTAAAAATAATAAAAATGCCCTCCCCCATCGAGTTCACACACAAACACGCACTCATACAAACACAACCTCTGCATTGTATATACACACACTCATACAAGCACACACTCTCTGCATTCACACAAACACACACACTCTGCATTATATAATGCAGTGTGTATGAGTGTGTGTGTGTGTGTGTGTGTGTGTGTGTAATGCAGAGTGTGTGTGTGTATAATTGTAAAAATCACAGAATTTCATAGCCCCAAGTTTTACCCTCGACTTATCCACGAGGCATAGCATATTTCACAATTGTTGGTCACAAAACTGCACTCGACTTATACATGAGATCGACTTATACACGAGTATATACGGTAACCAAAAGACAAAACCATTATGGAAAATGTTACACAACAAATTGCCTCATAAATAATTTGCTCGAAAATACTTTCCTTTTACACAATTTCTCTCAAACTACATAATGTTATCAAATTCCTCATACCCTTACATTCCATGTCATTGTAGTTAACCAGTATAATCAGAAGGACAAATGGTACTGCATTTCTATTAGTACTGTAAGAGGTTTCAGGAGCCCATAACTGCATTGTTTGTTTTGGGTGTCACTTTTTTCAGGTTACACACGCTCTGGTGATAAACTAGAGAAGTAAAATGTAATGAGCAAAGAATATATTTATGGGAACTAGGCAACATAAGGAATAAGTTACATGTCTACATTCTTTGCTATCTCTAATACAAAGTTGTTTCAGATTCCTCCTACAAATACAAAGAGATGAGATTCAAAAAAACCTGGCAATACTCAAATTGTTTTATGTATCATAAAACACAAAAAATAATGGAGCATTTAAAGCGTTATTCCAAGCACCAAGACCACTTCAGTGATCTAAAGTAGACGATGCCAGGAGTCTATGTGCAGAGTTTCTGTATTTAACCCCTCTGCTGTTTGAGATGTAACTCCATCTGCATCATTGGGGTGTCACAAGCCAGCCCAGAACACAGTGACGAACTGGGTAACTTCTGGGGAAATTTGATTGCACAGAATGTCATTCATTGGCTGAGAGACGTCATCTGATGCGCTCAGCCACTGTATGGGGATGGCATCGACTTCTATAGGATTAAGGGAAACGCGTCCCGAAACCAGCATAGCAGGGAGCCACGTAAGAGAGCACAGTGTTGCTAAATGGTTTGCTCCATTACCATGGAACCAGGCAAGGGTACTCTTAACATGCGGTGTGCTGTAGTGGTTATGAAAGTTGAAGTGACCCTCTAAGACAACACTTTAACTTAACAACTTCAGCTTAATGTAGTGTTGCTTATAGTCCATGTTATCCCTGGCTTTAATATCAAACCTTCTCAGAATGGTTTAATATAAAGTAGTGGTTTTCCCAGCACTGAGAGACCATCCGCATCTCTGCTACATTGATAATGGGCAGATCACTCTAACACTTTCTGAATGTAAATTTTGTCCAACCTGGACAAGATTAGCTGAAACTACTATGGGCAGCTCTCCTATTATCAACAAGACAAAGATGAGGGAGTTATCCCATTGTTGGAAAGGGGTTCTTGCACAGTTTGATATTATCCCGGGGGAAGGTACTACACTCTTGGTTATGGCATTTTATTGATGTCCCCAAAAGAGCAGAATATCAGTTTGACATTTGAGTCCATGACTCACTCATCACTATTTGTCCTCTAAGAATCGATTTTTAGGATGAATTCTTAAAGGACCACTCTAGGCACCCACACCACTTCAGCTTAATGAAGTGGTCTGGGTGCCAGGTCCCTCTAGGATTAACCCTTTTTGTTTATAAACAGAGAAACTGCTATGTTTATAAATGGGTTAATCCAGCCTCTAAAGCCTCTAGTGGCTGTCTCATTGACAGCCGCTAGAGGCGTTTGCGTGCTTCTCACTGTGAAAATCACAGTGAGAACACGCAAGCGTCCATAGGAAAGCATTGAAAATGAAAATGCTTTCCTATGAGACCGGTTGAATGCGTGCACAGCTCCTGCTGCACATGCGCATTCAACCGAAGAGGAGGGTCGGAGGAGGAGGAGAGCTTCCCGCCCGGCGCTGGAATAAAGGTAAGTTTAACCCCTTTCCTCGCCATCCAGCGTTTCCTTGTAACACAACTGGTTTAAATATTCTAGAATGTGTGATCATCTTGATTGCAGTATGTTATTTGACTTGTAAATGTTTTGTGTTTAGATATGATGTAGAATTGTTTCAAAGAATCGAACACCTGATTGGTAAAAAGCTCCCAGCCTTTCCAACACAAGAGGAGGAAGTGATGGTTCTAAATGAAAGAGTGTCAGAAGCCCAGAGATTTGCTCGTATTGTAAGTACTGCTTTGTTTTTGTTTATGGTCACTTATTGGCACTTTGTAATTACTTGAAGGAGAATTAGATCAGCTTTTGTAATACTAAGTTCATAAAAGTTTTACATCATATTGATTTTCATTTTCTATTGCATAAATAAGATATGTAAAATGGTGGTTAAATTCGTAATTAACTTATTTAGGTTTAATCTTTAGAATTTAAATATTTTGAAAGTGCCAATAATATATTAAAAAAACAATAACAAAACATACATTTCTGTATGGTGGTGGAAGAAACTAACCATGTCTATAATCACTTTGATAATGACCAGATTTCACAAAGCGATGGATAAACTGAATGCCCTCTCTTAGGGTTCCTTAACTGTTCACAGGGGCATATAATGAAAGTAGAGGGTGAATGGGAATGTGTTTGGGAGTGGGGACCAAAACCTAATGTGTATTGTACAGGGCTTGCTAGACACATACACTTATTGTTTGTGTGATCTTAAGGGTGCCTGATACTTAAAAATTATATTTTCTTAATGTAATGAGGTAAGACTTTTTTTCTTTAACAAATGCTGATTATTTGTACTGCCTTTCTTGATCTCTCCCCACGGTCCTACGTGTCACTGCTTACCTTTCTTCAGTCTTTGATTGGATGTCCTCCCGCTTTCTGAAACTCAATCTCTCTAAAACTGAGCTTTTGATCTTTCCCCCTCATCAAGCTGATCCTCCTCCTTTGCTTTCTCTGTAAGTTGATGGTACTTGCATCAGTCCATCCTTGCAATCTCTTTGTCTTGGTGTTCTCTTTGATCCTGGCCTAACCTTTGCGCCTCATATCTAGTATGTTGCTAAAACCTGCCGATTCCACCATAAAAACATCGCCCGCATCCGCCCCTTTCTCACGCAAGATGCTGCCAAGAAGCTTGTTTTTTCTCTCCAGTTGGTCTCCCCAGAAGCCGTACTGCCCTGCTACAATTAGTATGAAATGAATGCTGTCGCCAGGCTAATCTTTCTCACTTGTTGCTCCTCCCATACCTCACCCCTCTGTCGATCCTTACACTGGCTTCCTGTATCCTATAGGTGTCAATTCAAAATACTAACCCATACCTATAAAGCTCTAACCAAATCTAGCCCCTCTTACATTTCTTTACTGATTCGTAGATATGCTCCTTTCTCGGTCTCTCCGTTCTGCCGGTGACCTTCTGCTGCTCGCACCCTTACTGCCAACTCGCACTTCCAGGACTTCTTGCAGGCGGCTCTCTTCTTTTGTAACAGCCTGCCTACCCCATCAGACTCTCCCCTAGTCTTCAATTGTTTAAAAAGTCCCTCAAAACACATCTGAACAGAAATGCTTATGTACTCCCAGAAAAACTTAACTATACCTATCTATATCCGCCTCTTGCTCTCATAAAGAGCCACACTCCACTGTCACCTCCAGTTCTGCTGCTTTTCCACCTTGTTTGGTGGCGATCACCTTTGCTGCCCTGTTGTGTATTTGTACCTGACCTCCTCTAAACTGTAAGCTCGTTTGAGCAGGGCTCTCATCTACCTATTGTTCCTGTGTCACTGTGTAATTTTCATTTATTGTAAAACCCCCCCCCCCCTTTCATAATATTGTAAAGTGCAGCAGAATTAGTTAAATATCAATAAGAATAATAGTGTGTGACAGAACCATCTGTATGCCTATTCTAGGTGGATTCACTGCTGGTTAACCTCTTGATCCCAATTAGAACGTTGTGGTTAACCGCAGACACTTCTCAATTAAAACCGAATACAGGGTGGTCGTTGTTCGCATGTCGACCACGAGGCAGCAGCCATTTTAGATCGCATGAAAGACCAGCGGTCTTTGGCATTGATTTCATGGAATTAAGCACGGACACTTTTTCTGCCGAACAACGCTGAAACAACGGGTCAGCCTGCTCTGTTGACGAAAGCATGCGAACACCAGCCGTTCGAGAGTTTTGAATTATATGCAGAGACTTAACCCAGATAGCCTTCCCATGGATTCAATCGCATACCGAAAGACTGTAAGAACTTTGACTCCATGGCGATTGAACTATGCGTATGGGATCTGAGCGCTATTCGCTAATAATATGCACTCAGATCCAGGCTGTGATACGAATGCAAAATGTTCGGTAGTAGTGGAATTATATATTTTTGTGTGTTTTCTGGCATTTTACTTAAGATGGCGCTTTGTCTTTGTCCTGGTGATAATTGAATTACTTCTCAATTATCTCCAGGGCAGAGGGGAGGAAACCATATTGCATTGTGGGAAAAGTTTGTGCCTGTATGTCTAAAATGTCCATATGTCCATCTGTCATTACAGTCTCCCATTTGGTCCCCTAGGGGAGTGTCCACCAAGTGGGAGACCTGCATAAATACGGGCGGGTAGCCTACAGTAAAGCCAGATCATGTTTGACCTTCAATGCGGAACGTAGTCTCGTTATTGGGGGATTTATTACCGACGACTAGAGACTGATTGCTGGAGCCGAAAGCCGTTTAGTGGATATACTTGTTCGGCGGCTAGCGGCGATTCGTGGATTTCTGTTCGGGAGTTTGGAGCCTTTTACGGATCCCGTTCGGGAGATTACCGCTTTCCCTGATGGTGGTTTGTATACAGCAGTCTATACAAACGGAGATAGTGAGATTGCGAAAGGGGAAGCTTAACTAAACAGCGGTTTCCCTCACAGGCACCAGGGGTGTCTTAACAAAGTGATAGTAAAAACGTTTACTAGTTTAGGTTCAACAAGTGGAATTATTGGTTCTTGATATTTCCTAATGCACTTTCTTGAGACAGTACAAATTTGAGTTAGTTGCTTGATTTGATAAATTTGTTTAATCCTATTTTAGAAGGGGACCATGTCACCCTTCTGATTTTTCATTAACGCTCCAATTCTCAACTCTCATTTACAGTCCTACATCTGTATAAGAGTAATTTTGCAGTCAATATTTGTAAAGGCTGAGATTGGAGTACTTAGTCAGGTACACCAAATCACTTCTCCTTGAGATCAAATGCAAATTAGATTATTAATTTTACGGTTGGCATTCTGTGCTTGCTGGTATTGCCTCTTAAACTTCTCTTCGAAGGGAAGAATCTTCTCCCCCCTCCCCCCCCTTTGTTTCCTCTATTTACATGTTTATCCAATTGTTGTTTCTGCCCCATTTAAAATCTGGATTAAAAAATAGCATATATCTGAATATTTTATGCATATATGAAGGTGTACTTGATGTGACCGCTAAAGCCTAAACTTCTTTGTTTATTAATGTAAGCAATATTCTATCTAGGTTGACCTGTCTGCTTATTATACTTCCATAATCTGATCATAAAGATTATTGAAAATATATCTTAACATTTGACTTTGTTACATCTACCATTTTTCCCACTTTGACCACCACCCAATTAAAACGTAACTACATGGTCTTAAATTTGTATAATCGCAACTATATCTAAAGGCCACTACTAAATACTACTTCTTCTTGACCTCTCTGCTGCCTTTGACACCATTGATCAGCATGATCTTCAAACTCTTCAATCACTCAGTCTCTGATTCTGTCCTCTCGTGGTTTTCCTCTTAACGCTCATTCAGTGTCTCTTTTTCTAATAACACCTCCTACCCTCGTCCTGTCTCAGTTGGAGTCCCCCAAGGCTCTGTACTTGGTCCCCTTCTATTTTCTCTTTATACTGCCTTTCTTGGCAAACTTATTACCTCTTTTGGATTCCACTACCACCTGTACGCTGATGACACCCAGATATATCTCTCCTCCCTGGACCTTTCTCCTGCCGTCCTGCAACGTGTCACTGCTTGCCTTTCTTCCATCTCTGATTGGATGTCCTCCCGCTTTCTGAAACTCAATCTCTCTAAAACTGAGCTCCTTGTCTTTCCTCCTCCTAATACTGATCCTCCTCTTTCACTCTCCCTTCAGGTTTGTGGTACCCACATCAGTCCATCCTTGCAAGCGCGCTGTCTTGGCGTCATACTTGATTCTGGCCTCACCTTTGAGCCTCACATCCAGTATGTTGCCAAATCCTGTAGATTCCATCTTAAAAACATATCCCGCATCCGCCCCTTTCTTATGCAAGATGCTACCAAGGAGCTTGTCCATGCTTTAGTGATTTCTCGCATGGATTATTGTAACCCTCTCCTGATTGGTCTTCCCAAAAGCTGTACTGCACCGCTACAGTCCATAATGAACGCTGCTGCCAGACTGATTTTCCTCTATAGTTGGTTCTTTCACACCTCACCCCTCTGTCAGGCCTTACATTGGCTTCCTGTATGTTATAGGAGTCAATTCAAGGTACTAATTCACACCTATAAAGCACTGAATAACTCTAGCCCCTCTTATATCTCTTCACAGATCCTTAGGTATGTCCCTTCTCGGTCTCTCCGCTCTGCCTGTGACCACCTCCTGTCCGTTGTTCGCACACGTACGGCTAACTCAAGCTTGCAGGACTTCTCGCAGGCAGCTCCCTTCCTATGGAATAGCCTGCCTACCGCCATCAGACTCTCCCCTAGTCTTGCATCCTTCAAGAAGTGCCTTAAAACCCACCTCTTTAGGAAAGCTTATGGACTCCCAGACTAACCTCACATATACCTCTCTCTTGCTCTCTCCTAAAAGGCAGCCCACCTTATTTGATTGCAAATTCCTGTCCTATTGTTTTTTACACCCCACCTCCTATAGAATGTAAGCTTGTTTGAGCAGGGTCCTCTCCAACCTATCGTTCCTGTAAGTTTTTGTAATTGTCCTATTTATAGTTAAATCCACCCCTCTCATAATATTGTAACGCGCTACAGAATCTGTGGGCGCTATATAAATGGCAATAATAATATGGTGAAAAGCCTTCATTGCATTTGCTATCTGTATAATTTTCTAAATCTCTAATTTCAGGAGCTAAGAGAACATGGAGAAAGAAAAAAGCGTCCACGGGAAGAGATGATAAAAGACACAGATGGCTATTTAGGAAAGAGTGAAAAAGTGACTGGAGGAAAATTTAAGCGGAAAGTCCACTGATTATTGCTGATTAATTCATCATTATTGATGAGTGACTGCTAGGACAGTGATTTTTTTTTTTTCATGTTATTGGAAGAAGTTTGTATACTGTACAGTTGTCCTTCATGATTCCAGTGGAAGAGATCCACTGCTTATTTCTTCTTGGTAAAACTTAAAGCAGGTTTAATATTTTTAAACTACCGGTATATTCTTACGTATCAATATTTTGTATGCAGAATGTAAAAGATGGAAAAAACAGTGCTTCAATTGAAGCTTTGCTACCCAATACGTTTTAAATATGAATAAAATTTGTTACCACTATACACAATTTGTCACTAAAAGTCACACAAGCGTAAAATAACAAAAAATGCAACATTTCTGGAGCACAAAAGGTAGAACTCTCAAAATTTTCAAATATACTTGATTTTCTCCTGATGACATGTTAAACATGGTAAGTATCACTCAACATAAATCAAACCACAGAATCAGTGAAGTATAAAAAGAGTAATATTTCTTAAAGGATGGTAGAACATAAATATATGTACAGTATATGTGTTTGTATATATGATATATATACAGTGTGAGATTGAGATGTAAATTCAACCATCAGGGCTGCA